TTAAAGTATGACGAAGTACAGTGTGCACCTCCCAATCTGCTCTGACATCATGACACCCACCTCAGCACCAAGGTCCCAGCGCTGACCCTCGGGTAGAACATCTGTGCTCAGAGCACCACCTTTGGCTCCAACAGGCTGGAAATGCCGGAACGCTAACGGGATTCTCAAACAGGCGGGGCTAGGGCAGGGGGGAGGTGGAGGAGACCTGAGGACACACAGCAATGCTGCTGTTCTCCATCTCAATTGGTAGAGCCTCCCCAGCCCTCACTTATCGTGAGACCTAAGTTGTTACGGTGACTGGAGGTGGCTAATAGCTTAACATGGACAGGGTAGAGGCCATCAAAGCCCATGAAAGCTCCCACCTGGGTGTGGAGCTTCAGACACAATCCTACTCTGCAGAAGCTGGTAGGCTTGACACGTCCCTACATCCCCTGAGAGTCTGTCACCTGATGGCTCTCTGTTTTACGTCATTGTCTACTCTCCTCTGACCCCATGGAGGCCACACACATGGGAGGGAGGGTCTTGAGGTACTTAGTGGGAGTGAGGCAGGAGGCAGGGAGAACCGTATGGAGTGTATCACCACAGCAGCAGGCAGAGGAAACAGGCAGGAGGAATGGGGGGGGGCGGGGGGCCGCAAGTCAACAGTAACACCTGATGTTTACTAAGGGCTCTCCGCATGCCAGGTGCTTAAAGCCCCATGCAGTAGGCACTAAAACCTTGCCCTCCTGCCAATGAGGAAACCATCAAAGTCTAAAAAATCCATGTCTAAGGTCATTGAGCTGGGAAGTGGCAGGGCCAGAACCCAGTCCTGGATACCAACTTCGAGAAACACTCTAAGAAGGGACTCAATGGGCTCGAGGAGAGTTACCTCGGAAGTGGCAGGAGTTTGAGCTGCAGCCCTACTGTTACTCATGTGACTTTCTGCCGGTCCCTTCCCCTCTCTGAGCCTCAGTTTCCTCACCGGTGAAATAGAGCAGACGTTCTCACACTATCTGGGCTCAGGGGTCCAGGCAAATCCCAGCAAAGACTGAAGCAGGGAAGTCAGGGGGTGGAGACGGGACATGGCTCCACTTCAGGTAAGACAGCACCACTGTGACCCACTCCAGATGGGCGGCAGTGGGCAGTTGTGTAGCATTTTAATGGGGCAGAAGGAGATTCGGCTCTTAACATCCTGTTTGAGAACCCCCGGACTAGACGTCTCTGAGGCCCCTCCTATTTTAAGCGCTCTTTCTCTCTCATCTTAAATGGGCTGGGGGGACGAATGAAGAGTCAAAATGACAGCAGGGTGTCTGAGACAGGGAGACACTGAGAGGCTCTAATGATGTCTGTTTGCTCAACAAATGGTACACAAAGGTCAAAGCCGGATGCTACGAACTCCCTTTTTTCCTCTTCAGAGCATAACTATGAAATAGAGGTCACGGGACTCTCCTGAATTGGAAACGTGGCATGCTCCCAATGTTTCACCTTCCGCCTCTTTCTTTTTGAGGCTTACGTTTCCTATCATCACTTTATTACATCTTCTTTATAGCTATCAAACAGATAATATTCTTTACCAGAAAGGTAGGGCAGATTTTGACTTGGTCATCTGGAAGCCACACCATATTTTCCCAAAACAACTCATCAGGGTAGAGCTGGGGCAGAAGAAACAAGATTAGCCGGAGGAGAGGGAGACGAAGAGGAAAGATTCTCCTGAGGTGGAAAAGATGAAGAGGCAAAAAGACACTGATTAGAGGGTGGGGGAGATGATACTGACAAGACTAGAGGAAAAAAAGACATAAATATGTTTGAAAAACTAAAAAAAAAATTGTTTCCGACGCTAAGTTGCAAGTGGGAAAAGACAGGAGAGGGAGGAAGAATGGGAGGTTTTCAGCATCCTAGGGAGAATAATGAGGTGGGGTTGCCACCATTATTATTCTCATAATCCTAGGGGCTGCCGGCTTCCCCCAAAGTGTGATTCATAGAGCAGTCATTGCTTGAGATGGTTCTTGGAAAGCAGTTCTCCAGTCAGACTAGCTCAGGAAACCCCACGTGGCATGCTGAGTACTTCTGGGGGCTGTAATGTGCGTGCACTAGAACCCTGAAGGCTCTGCAGGAATGCGACCTGCCTCACATCATTCAATCCAGCATTCCTCAAAGGCACATGGCCTCAGATCTCCATCTTGGAAAGCACACTTTGGGAGAAGCCCCAACTCAGGCAGTGCCCAGTGTGAGCCAGCACAGCGGTGCCGCTGATCGAACTCGGCTTGTTTAGTTTCTCCGCCAGCTTGGACTGGGGCAGACAGGAGCATATAGCTGGTATAGGACATTCAGAAATGTGTTGTTTTGGCCGGCTCCGTGGCTTGGCGGTTAAGTGCGCGCGCTCTGATGCTGGCGTCCCGGGTTCGGATCCCGGGCGCGCCCTGGGGCACCACTTCTCCGTCCAACGCGAGGCCGAGTCCCACGTACAGCAACTAGAAGGATGTGAACCTATGACATGCAACTATCTACTGGGGCTTTGGGGGGAAAAAA